GGTGGGGGGGGGGGGGGGGGTCCCACTGATGCCTACAGTGAACCTTAGACACTGTAAATTACTGTAACTTTTACCTGAAAAGGTCAAAGATGTCATCTAACAATCCTGGAAATTGTTGTCTTGTTGTGAAGAGAGATACAAGGCTATCCATCTAGACCCTTGCATACACTATGTGTATGCCTAGTTAGGGAACATCAACTGATGGAGCCAGTAATGGTATGGGTATGAACCTGCACCAGATTACGTGTTAGGTCTACAGAGATAGTTACACCGGTAACTCCAAAACTATTGTCGTATCTAGTTCATAAGAGGAAAAAAAAAACCAAAAAAAATAAACCAGGTCTGACAGACATGTACACATTGTCCTTGCACTTGGATCTCCCTGCTGTTTCTAGCTGAATCACTCTTATTTACTTGCAGTCCTGACCAACTGAAACAATTTGATTAAAGGAATATTGAGTCTATCCTTTATTTACCACCTACAGCCACCAACTTCCAAATATAGCAAGGAGTATTCCTCCACTCCTTCAAATATTATCGATCTTGTCAAATTCAATATTGCCTACATGGCTTGCAATTTAGTTAACAGGTATTATGATCATCATAGTAACAGTTGTACCAAGAACTCTTTATTTTATTACAGACCCAGCTGATATCCCTTTAGAAATCTACTACTTAATGCATCTCACTTATTTTGACAATATTTTGAGACCCTGTGGAGTTGGTCCATAATTAAAACAGGATAAAATAGCTGAATAATGCGCTTTATTGCCAGTTTTATATTAAAGACATCATGCTCCAAAATTGAAAAAAAAAAAAAAAAAAAAAAAGAGGGGGGGAGGGGGAGGTATTGAAGAGGCTGCATGGAGTTCTCTAGACTACTCAAGGCAACAGTAACCCCTGAACTGCAGTTCCACAGGTAAAGCCATAGGAAGATTACTGCAATTTTAATATTGCACCCTTTTTGCTGCTAGCAGTGTCAAAAAGGGAATTAAAAAAAAAAAAAAGCTTTGGACCTAAAAAACAGCATCTAAAAAATAAATTTTGTAAATACTTCTCATAGCAGATGCAGACAATCTAGAATAGTGAAGTTTTTGTTTAACAAAAATAGATTGGAAAAAATATTTACAGAGAATTATCTACAAACATGCCTAACTGTGCTTATCTGATGCTCCATGCACTGAAACTGCTAGCAAACTGAATGGACATGTTTTCCCCCCCACTTTCAGAAAGGGAGTTTCCTTCCTCAAAGGGCTTTCAGTGGAACTTCCTCAGTCTGAGATCATTTAAGAGCCTTCTTGTTGATCCTCAATCTTTGGAGCCAGGTAGTATTTTAAGTGTCCCATATCAGCAATCTTGTACTCCACAACTGAGGAAAAGGGAAGAAAGACACCACAGGTAAGTCAGTTAACTTGTAGCACCCACAAAAATTTAGTTTATACGAGGGTCAAGATTTTGGAATTCAACTAAAAAAGTAGCGACAGCTGCCTCCTCTTACCAAGGGGAACATCTGCAGACATGCTGAGCGTTACTGTAGGCGACAAAGGAGTTGCTTTGGTAAAGAAGTTCAAGTACCTCAAAGCAAAAGTCAGCTGGACTGCCTCATTCATCTCTATTGTAACCTAACAAAGATGTTTAAAAACAAACAAAAAAGTTAAAACAAGTAGTGCACCTCTTGGGCAATCAAAGTTATTGGCTCTTAGCAGCATTTCTGCCCTCTTACCCGTTGGGATGGAGAAATTGTTGTGTGTTCCAGCTTTAAGCACAGCCTGGTACTAGCACAGCTTCAGCTGAACCAACTGTTCAACCCTAAGCTCTGCATTTGCATAAATCAAGGATATTAGTTTTGCTGTAGACCAGCAACTTTTTCCTACCTCTACTCTTTCAAACCCCCTTTAGATCAGGGTTCTGGAGTAAAGATATAGGAAATGCTCCATTTATATTTGCTGTAATCATTTTAGCCACCTTAGTTCTCTAAACCCAGAGAGACTCAATATATCTTTTATTATTCTACTTGTAACTTGTCAAGTGTAGCAGCAACAGATGTCATTTTTTTGTTTTTTTTGTTTTTTTAAAAGAGACCTCTTAAAGGAAATCTCAACTTACAGCTTCTTCTTCTTTATCAACATTACTGGTCTGGGACAGTTTGATGTTTCCACTTCCTAGCTCTCCGTTAGCTGAAAATTTGACACCATCTTTTGCACATGAGATAACAACTGCATCTCCAATATGGCTTAGATCTCTGCAGATGCGTGCAAATTCAGCTGAAGGCATTTTCACAACACAACTGTATTCTTGTTCCTGTAAGGAAGAAAAGAAAAAACAAAAACAAAATACCTGGTCTCAGATCATAGGTCCTCAAGGCTGAACTAAATAAGGCATGTTACAGCTTAAAAAAAATTTACAGTAGAAGATTTCTACTCCTTATGAAAAAGGAGAACAGCATCTCAAGGGCTGTAGTCCTCATGTCTAGGACAAATTCACTTGTCTTATTTGAGGAAAAAGATAAGCCTGTTACTTAAGCTGGTAAAAAAAGACGACTTATTTAAGTATCTTCTATACCTTTAACCTAATATGCTTACATAAACATCCTTTGAAAATACCTTAAGTCTGTGTTTATAAAAGAATAGATTGCTGAACTGCATTATGGCAAATCTGGATACCAAACTTTACTCAAGTACTTCCAGAAAGCACTGGGGAGCCTACTCCCTTTTGAACCAGCTCAAAACTATGAATATCACTTGTGAGCTTTACCTTCAGTGGGCATAGCCAACAGGGGGTCACTTAGTGCACCTCTCTTTGTAAGAGGAAGTGCTTAAAAAGGTAGGTGACAAAACGCACGGTCCTCCTGATCATGCATTTGAGAGCTGAAGAGCCAAGTCAACCACTATCCACAGTGATCGCCACTTCAAACTCTAGGCTTTTCCTAATGCTTCCCATGGGCCATCTTAAAACTATCCCACTGAGGTGGGGAACTGGGAACACAGAATATTTTAGAAGCCTTCAACATTAACATTTTACTCTCACTTATGAGTATTAGCAATTAATTTTAGCTCAGACAAAACAAAATGGCTTACTGGGATGCCAAGCTGTTCCACATCCAAATCCATTAGTTTCATCTCATAATCAGAGACCTTTTCTTGATCTAGGAGAAAAACATCAAAATACATGTGTGTGTTTGGTGAAGCAAAGTTAAGCCTGTGTTTTGCAGTTAGATCCTCTTAAACTTTTACACAGAAAAGAAAAAAAAAAGTGATATTCATAGATTGTAAGGCTGGAAGGGACCTTGGAAGATCATCAGGTCCAGCCCCATGCACCAAGCAGGAAAGATAACCGAGGGTCAGGTGACCCCAGCAAGGTGACTGTCTAATCCCCTCTTGAAGATTTCCAGGGTAGGCAATTGCACCATCTCTGGAAGGAGCTTATTCCAGTCTGGACACCCCCAACTGAAGTTTTTCCTAATGTTGAGCCTGAATCAATCTTCCAGGAGTTTGTGCCCATGACTCCTAGTTTTCCCCTTGGGTGCCCTATCGAACAGCTATGAGCATGCCACCCCACCCCAAGTCACAGGACACAAGACATTTCTTGGTGCAACTATACAAGTATCCATAAAAGCTTCTGGTCATTTAGATGATCATCATCATCTACTGTACTCAGCTAAAAAGTATACACACCACACAAAGCTTTTGAACTAGGTACTACCATAATCCAGATGAGTGGTTCTCACACCACCCCTCATTAGACTAATGGAGAAGGGCCTTGACTTTGGATGCCACTTTAATTTTGTACAATTTCAAAGACTCATCTGTATACTACAGTGCTCAGCTGCTTTCAGGAGAACCAATCAGTGAAGATGGAGAGGAACCAGCCAGACAGAGACAAGCCTGAGCCTCCAATTATCTAATTATATCTGCATACCTCCAAAATATCTGGCAGCACTTCAACCCACTGTGGGACCCTGGTTGTGAGACTCAATGATTCAAGTGTTCACTTCCAGCCTCATCTGCCAATTAACTTAATAAGAGGCACTCATTTTAGTCTTCAAGTAGTGCTGCAAGTTCAAACTGACACTTTTTTTTTTTTTTTTTTGAGGGGTGTTTTTTATTTTTATGCGCATGTGAGCTTTTGATTTAAGTGTTTCCTACCTTTGCTGAGGCAAGGATTTCATAGGGTGATCTCTTTGATTAGATAAAGAGCACAGGATAGAGCTAGACAAATTTTTGGAAGCAAGACATTTATCAGGCCTCCTGCATCCCAGCTGTACAGTTGGCCCAAGAGAAGAGATGACCCTACAAAATCCCTGCCTATCACCTCATTCTCAGACCCCTGCAGTTCCAACATGGCTTGAGGCACCATACCTGTGAGGACTCATCTGACTTCTTTGCTGCTCATGTGACCAGACTCTGGAATTGATTCCCAGCAGGGGTGGTGCAGACACTTAACCTAGAGATCTTCACAAAAGTTTAGGGCTGGAAGGGACCTTGTGAGAACACTGGGATAAAGGAGACTGGATGCACACCCTGCAGGGGTTGTTTGAACCCAGTAGTGTTTCCTGCCCAGGGGCTGGACCCAATGATCTCATGAGGTCTCTTCCAGTCCCAAACTTCTGTGAAGTACAGGTACTTACTTGGGGCCTCGAACACCAGGGCCAGGGTGTCTGCATTGTCTTCTGCCCGCAGCGTGATGATGTCTTCGTTGCCAGCACACTTCAGAATTTTGGACATGCTGCAGCAAGGGCTAGACTAGTTAGACCAGCCCAAGCAAGGCATCCTGACCCACCACATCCACTCTTCCTCCCCCCCAAGCCTTGCAAGCTGCTTCCAGGCCAGAGGAGCAATGCATTGCAGGGGCCACATCCACCCTTCCCCTTCCCACCAGGCAGAGCTGCCGAAGCTCCTCCCCCCCGCGGGGGTTCTTCCCCGCCACTGCGCGCGGGAAAACCCTGAGCGCGGGGCGCCGGCGTGACGTCACCGCGCAGGCGCGCGGCACAAACGGGGCAAGAGTCGCGCTCCAAGCCCCCACAACCGCCCCCGTGGCACCTGGTCAGGTTGACGCCCATAGCGATGTTACGGTCGCAGCGGTAGGTGTCGAAGCCCTCGGAGCGCAGCGTGAGCTGCACCAGTGAGACGTGCGAGGAGTCCATGCTCTGCAGGCTGATGCCGCCCGAGCCCAGGTCCCAGCAGGCCTCAGTGATGAGGTCCTTAAGCGCCTCCAGCACGCGCTTCAACACCGAGCCCTGCACCAGCCGCGCCTCAAACATGGTGAAGAGAAAGAGATGCTAGACTGCTGCTTCTCGCGGCGCGCCAACGGCTCTTTTTATAGCGCCTCTGACCTCACGTCCGGGTCCCGCCTCCCCGGCTTCTCCGCCAATCGCAGCAACCTGAAGCCCCGCCTCCTTGCCGCCAATCTACTGATCCGTGCCCACCCGCGGGATCGTGCGCGAAAAATGAAAGCTCCTCCTTCCGGCCAATCAGAGCCTGGGAGTCACCGGTAGTTCCGCCTATTTGGGATTCTGGACAGAATCCCGCCCACGTGCTCTGCAACCGCCAATCCCCACGCAGGTGACAAGCAGCGCGTTTCCTCCCACCAATCCAGGCCGGCCTTACAACCCGCGTTGTTTCACAAGGCTGCGAGGGCTGGCTGCTCGGCCCTGTCCCTTGGATGCTCCCAAGGCAAGAGTGCCATGCCGTGCCCAGGGGCTGCTGCAGGGAGCTTCACGGCGTGCGGGGGTCGGCTCATGTACAACCGCCATCGGCGTACACCTATCATGGCGGCCACCACAGGTCGGGGAGGAGGAGGAAGAGAAGAGTTCCTACATCCGGGTCAGGAGGGGCAGGGCGGGGCGAGTGGCCTCGCCCCCTTCCCGGCTCGCGCTGCTCCCATTGGCTGCGGCGGCGCTAGGCGGATGGAACGCTGGGGCCTGGGCGCACGCGCTGCTGCTGAGGTTCTCAGCGGGGCTCAGCATGAGCGAGCTGCGGCAGCGCCTGGGCCGGGAGCCCGACGACAAGGTACCGGGGAGGGGCCTGGCGCCCCCCGCCTGCCCGCAGGTGTAGCGAGGGCTGCTCGGGCCGACCCTGCGGAGCGCGGGGGTTGCAGCGGGGCGGGGCAGCAGTGCAGTGCATCTGGGTTTGCATGTCGGCACAGCTGGGGTGGGTGGGGCGTGGGAGGCACAGCCTCGGTGCATCGTTGCCTGAGCTGGGCCATGTAAGCGTTTGCTCCCCGGGCATAGCTCCCAGAGCCCAGAGGGATCTGCTGCCAGGGCACCACTAGTAATGTGCCAAACGTGCAAACGTGTCAGCTGCACCCCAGGGGCCAGCTGGCTAGGGAGAGCTTGCATGTTGACTTCTGTATGCATAAATGCTGGTAGCATCACACCCTTAATTTCCAAGACCAAGATGAAGATGTTTTAGGGAACCAGGCTGTAGCCAAATTCATCTCTCCTCAACTCATTAATTCCTGTGAAGTAAAACACTAACTGTTTAGCAAGGCATTTCCACTCTCTTTGGCTGCAAGGCGCCACGTCTAAGAGCGGGTACTGAGTTGCCGTGGGATTGGCCCAGCCTGGTGCTTCTGGAGTCTTATGGGACTTGAGGCCTAAAGCATTGTTAAGATGGGGTGAGAGAGCTGTTCTTTCACTGTACGCTATTACTGTATGTGCTCCTGCCAAAGCCCAATCCAGATGCTTGGAGAAATAGAGCTAAAAGGTTGGCTGTCCTTCACGAAGTCATTTGCACTCTCGCCCTCTTAAAGGGTGCCCCTTGGAAGATGTGAGCAACTAAAAGCATGGACTTTCAAGGTAAAAGTCCTATTTTGAAAAAGTCTTTGGGGTTCTTTGCCATTCACAACCCAATGGGCCTCAGGAATCAAGCTGAGGGGGAAATTGTAATTACTCTTGGCTGTTTCATGCTCTTACCTTGGCCTTGTCAGCTACCATTTGGCTTGCATTTATGTTAGAACAAAGTTCTGGTTCTAATTCCAAGACAGCAGTGGAGTGCTTCAACCACTTCACCTTGAAAAGGTGAAAAGCTTTCTGTGTCAAGTAAACATCAAGTGATCACTTGAAATTCTTTTGTTTTTTTCTCAGCCGAAATCTTTGTATTTAAAATTACTTAAAACATCCTTTTTTAGCAGCTAGCGCAAACTGTAAAATAAAGCATCATCCTTGGGTCTAATTACTTTCTTGGTTGCTATACAATTATAGAGCTGGAAGAAATGACTCTAGAAAATGGGATTGCTGGAAGCTTAACTTTTGATGAAGATGTAAAATGCCTGACTGCCTGGTAACTTGTAAAGCGTTACGGTGTTTAAATTTACCGACTTGGTTTAGCTTTGCTTTTCTATATTAAACAAGAGTGGATGAAACTATCACCCTCTCGATAATTGACTGTTTGCACTGCATTTTTGCACTGTAGCAAGGTGACTTAACTCTTCCTGTGCCTGAAGGAGGGTGTTTGTACCTGAAAGCTTGCAAAGAACAATTTTTCCAACTATAGTCTAATAAAAGATATTGCATTTACCCAAAGAACCTTGTCTGCCTATGTCCTTAGACCAATACAGCTACAACTAATAGCCCTGTTGTATCCTGGTACTTTTGTGGGAGTTGGAATGCTTCCTTGGGAGCACTGGTATTGCTCAACTGGTATGCATACTCTCAGCAAGCAGAGTTGTCTTAGCTGTGTGGGACTCAGAAGGCCAAAGGGCTGTTTCTTAAAGTCTGATCTCATCAGACCCAAACCCCTGATCTCATCAGATGCATTTTTACATACAACAGGATTCCTCTAGTTAGCATTTAAGTAATGCATCCAAAATGCTCTCCATACAAGTTGGGGTTAACTGAATATCCTAAAATAATTTGGGCAAACACAATGCACAGGGCCAAGAATTACATCAGCCCCACTGCCCTCAAACAAAATGTTGAAGCAAACCCCTCTCCTTCATATTCCATCGCTGACCTGCTGCTACTGACTGAATTTTGTATTCAACAGAACATGGTATAGAATAGGCAGCAAATAACATCCTGAAGGCTGAAGTTGGAGTGGAATGTAACTGTCTGAACTGCTGAGTTGGCCAGTCTCTCTCCTAATAATAATGTATTCCTTAAAACCGCACAGGGTCGGGGTCCAGGATTAGGAACTCTTGGAGGCTAGCATTGTGTTGTCTTCTGGTGTCTGCAAAGTGTCTATAGCATACTGTGGGCATACCATCAATATACAAGACAGCAACTCAGTGAAACCTGTGCTGATACCTTAAGCCACTAGCAGGAAGTCATCTTGAATTCTGTGTCCCCTGTTCAGACATCCTTGTGAGTCTTCCTTTACTTACTTTGTCCCCCAGCCATAGCATAGCCAATAATATTAAGTCTAGTACAGTATGCCTGTTATATTTCACAGCAGGGGAGGCTGCTTTCATAAGGACATTGAATTTGTAAAGAGAAACCAAAAAGAATGCACTTGGTTTCATTTTTTTAAATAAATTGTTCTGTTAGTTTTAAAAATAAAACTGGAAAATTCTTAATCTGGCTTTTCTGCCTTAGTTTTCATTTAGCTCATCTTTGACAATGGAAACAGGAAGGTTTGTTTCATTTTGTGGTGCTTCTTTTGCTAAGGCAGTGCACTAGCTGTGCTGTTGCCCTTTACAGTGCTCATGGGGTTGTATAAATGCAAAACCACATGAATGTTACTGAAATGAAAACCTCCCCTTAAGGTAGCTTGCAAAAGAAGTTCTGACTGTAAAAGGTCAGCATTATTTTACTCTTCCCTTCAGATCACAATTTAACATTTGATTAGGGAAGCTTGAACTGTGACTCTGCTACCCTTGGAATAAATAGGATTTGAGTGATCCTAGCTGTCTCTTTCTAGCAAATAATTCACTTGAAATTAGCTAAATAGATAGCATTACATGAGCAACCAAGTATTTAGTTTCCTGCTGTTATAGAAGAGTTCAAGATTCTCATTTCCTATTTTATAGAGTTATTGTTTTACTCTGTAAAATTCAATCTGTCTTCTCTATTTGAGAAACCTTAAAAAAAAATAAAAAATTGAAGTCATGCTCCTGAGTTGCAAACATCCTGTTGAATCGTGTTTTCATCTCCAGTTTTGAAAACGAATAAGGGCATAAAGAGGGACTGTTAAGGATGCACTTACTATGGGGTTTCAAACTGTTGTTTCTAAAACTGAAATTGTACTGTTTACACTGAGCTCAGCTTTGGCACAGGAAGGGTTTGATTTAGTTTTGGATCCTCCACTGCTACCAACTCTTTGTTGGGCATGGGACCCGGAGTTTTTTCAAGGGCTGGTAGTTCACTCAGCTAGTAGCTATAGGAAGGGGGGAAAGAGGGATCCGTGGCATCAAGAGGCAGAATCTTCTGGGCTTTGTGTCCCAGTGTTGCATTATCAACTTGCAGCTTGTCACAAATATTCTACATTTTTGGTGGAAAGTGACCCACCTAATCATGAGGGGAACTGCTGAAGCAAATGAAAACGGGATATTTAGCATGTGTGCTGCATGAAAGTTGGGTATACCAGTTATGCAGGTAGAGCTTTCCACTGAGATGTGCAGCCCTTTTACTTACCAGCCACTAACTTACTGACCCTGATTGCTAAAAGGAACAAGCTTAAATATAAAAGAAAGGATAGAGAGACCTGGGAGTCAGGATCCCAGGGGTTTTCTTGTTAAATTAAGAATGGGAACAGCTTCTAGCGTGTTATGAATGGACTTAGTGGTAAGGATGCTTGCATTCTAGTTCCAGCTGTGCTGTAGATACAGTTAGACAAAAGGCCACAGAGCAAGTCTGATTGCCAAACTTAAGTTCCTTGTGCCTGGTTTCTATCTGGATATAGGCTATGACACTCACCTACTTTAGGGATTTTGTGGTGTTTATCTACTGCACACAAAGGGCTTTGAGAGCTTCAAGTTATATCAAGTCTGGTACTATAGTATAAAAGCAAAGAGATGTGATTTATTTTGTTATGTATAGCAGAACCCAGAGCTCCCTCCATGTCTGACTTGCACCCATTCTCCAGCTGTACAGAGAGGCAGAGCGGAGGAGCTGAGACTTGCTGTGTGGTTAAGGAAGGAAAAAAACTGACCAACCAGGTCATCTTAAATGTTTGGGTAACTCGGAACCCTCATAGAGTGTCCTCTCCCTGTGCCTGAAGAAGGGTGTTTGTGCCCAAAAGCTTGCAAAGAACAATTTTTCCAACTATTTAGTTGGTCTGATAAAAGATATCACATTTACCCAAAGAACCCTGTCTGCCTCAATCACAACAGGCTTAAGTCTCTAGATGATGGCTGTGGTTGTCTCAAGAGGCTCTGATGATTCAATGTAAGTATACCACAGAAATGATGTTTATTCTAGTTCTGAGCCATGAAGGTGAGAATGCTGGGGGTACCTGATGATTTATGGATATTTGGAAATTGGATATTCCAGTGGTAGCCACTCTTGCTGCTGGTCTGACATGCTGATCCACTGCTACTCAATCCCCCTGCCTACTTACTTGTACTGATGATGCTCAAGTGGTTTTTATCACTAGTGAAATCTGGCATCTGTTAGGGCTCACAGAGCAATCAGACCCTTTGGGTAACTGCAAAAAGCTGGTTTCTTTGCTTCATGCTCTCTCTGTCTGTGTGGAATGCATGGCAATGGGATCAGCATCTGCTAAGGCTAAGCCATGTATGGAGAAACTCTTCATAACAAAGACCCTGAGCTAGGATTGGCACAGCAGGAGCTGAAGTGCTGAACTGTTTGTTTTTTCTGCTGATGGGTGGATATGGGGAAAAGGCACCCCGGTTTGTTCAGGGCCTTGATGGGGATGTCACCTGCACTGCTGTCACTTAAACCATTTGCTTTAGTTGGTTTGGAGGTTTTCTTTTTGCAACACCAGGGAAGTGGCTCTTCTTTAGGCAGATGGCTGACCTGTTTTGTTGAGATGGTGTTACTCTGACAGCTCGGTGGTCTGGTTTCTGTGCTCAGGGATTACATTCAGTTACTGTGGCTAACTGAGCTATT